TTTATTGAAAATTATTAATTATTTGATTCTTGGTATGAAATCGGGTTTTAAGGTTTCTAAAGATAAATACTTTAAACATTTTAAACTCTCTAGATTATCTAAATTTTCATCTTCTAGTTCTGTTTGTGAATGTAAGGTCCACCACACTTCGCTCATAACTCTGTTATGCTGCTATTTTTCTCGGTGTGTTCTTTCTGTAAGTGGTGTTGGCATTTATAGACGCTGGTACATGACATCTATCATTTCTACGATATACAACTTTACAGGTATGTGATTTACAATTGAAGAACAAGTAATTAGTACCGTATAATTTTATAAGTGTATGACATATAATTAAAGAATTAAATGTTTCTTTACAGTTGTGAGAATCTTTTTGAAATTTTTGTCTTCTTAAGTCCAACATTTTGACTTTCCTGACTTGATAATTATCATTTGAATACTATTCATCTGATAATTGACCTTTGAACACTATTAATCTGAACACTATTAATCTGTCTTTTGCTTTTCCTTTACGTCTTCTCTTTTAATTTCCCATCTATCCATTTTCTCTATATAGGATTCTTTTAGGCTTGCATCCATTTCATTAGTTTTGTAATCTGATATGTATTCTTCTTCTTCTTCTTCTTCTTCTGTATCTGATTGTCTTTCTGTTGATTCATCGTTTGTTTCTTCAAAAGTCATCTGATATAGCTCATTTTGTTCAAGATTTGGTGCTAAATTTTTTTCTATTTTAACCTTTAAAGCAAGATGCTCTTGACGGAAAATAACTCCATTATTCCATTGAGCTACAAGTTTGGAATTATTGTTTTGAACTTCCATAATTGCTACGATCTCTAAGATTCGTCTTTCGTGGTCAATCTGTCTAATTTTTATTTTTGTATTGGTTTTAGAGGAATGTCGAAATGTTTTGGCTCCTTCGTATATTAAAATATGGTGATAAGCTAGAATTATTATACCATTATTTACAAGAGGTGGTCTAGAAATGAATTGAATTATCAGAGGGTGATCTTTTAATTGACTAAGAATCTGCTTAAGTTTCGGTGGAAAAAATTTGAAGGATCTGTTTAGAATGTATATGGTGTCTATCACACCGAACTTTAAGGCTGGATAAAAGAAGTATTCTTCTCCAAAAATTGTATAGTCAAAAGATATTGTCGGATAATTATGTCTAAGAAATGTTGAGTTATTGACTGATTCATATTTGGGGCCATGTTTAATAAAGTATCGATTCTCGTTGTGATAATAGCTTGGAGTTTGAGAGAAATCGATAATTTCTTGTACTAATGACTCCTTTATAGCACTTCGAACAATATTGGCACAATAGCTAATTTTCTGTTCTAATTTATATAAAGTCTTTTCTTGCCCTATAACTGTAGAGTCTGTTAATTCAATAAATCTTTCTATTTTATTAGAATAATTTCTATTTGCAGATGCAATATCTTCAGAGATAAGTCTTTCAACAATATCTTTAGATCTTAATCTTTTTAAATTATCATGTAACTGGAGAATCTCATATTGATATTTACTAATAGTCTTTTGAGATGAAGTGATTTCGTCTTCAAGGATATGTAATCTTTCTACAACCACATATTTTTCAATACAATACTATTACTTGCATATCCAAAACTTTTTTTATTTTTTAACCACACATTCTTCAATAAAATATAATTTCAAAATGCATTTTGGACAAAA